CATAGGTGTACACTAGCATTCATTTGTGGGGTACATGCTTTGTTGATTATTGAATTGGTTATATACTAATTGGGCTAGTAGTACATTGAAAGCTTTCATTCTTGATAAAGGTGGATAACAAACCCATTTTCATTGAGTAGCCATGATTCTAGCCTTATTAAGCACTGAATTTCTCGTGCCGAAAGGTAGAAGGCCCAAACTCTAGGTTAATAATTGAACTTACTTGAAAAAAATAAAAAAAAATAAAAATAAAATAAGAGAGAAAAAAAAGTTACAAAAGTAATAAAAAAGTGAAGACTTCTCGCAAAAGATGATAAGTGGGAAATGATTAGATGGAGGTTGTTTTGATTTGTAGCCTAATTGATTTGAGTATGTAAGTCCTTAAGGGTGTTTGAACACCTAGTGCCCTAAATCCGTCTGGTTTGGGAGTCATTGACCTAACGCTCGACCTCATGAATCGCTAGAAAGCTTAATAAATCAACACATTGCACTATGCTTCCATCTTTGATCCTTAGGGATAGAAAAAAAAAAAAAAAAAAAAAAAAAATCGAGTGAAACGAATAAGCGCACCTAGATCAATAAAACTTTAATAAAAGGTCCACTCTTTATCTTCATGATCGGTACTAGATTTGTGTGCTAGCTTGAGGGTAAGGATGTGATCATTTCTTTACACTACAACAAACGGGGTTTTTTGCGACCAAACCGAAAAAGTCGCAAATACTGTGTTATTTGCGACCAAAATGAGTTAGTCGTAAAAGTTAACATATTAGCGACTAAAGTAAATTTTGGTCGTAATTGATAACCACATTAACGACCAAAATAAATTATGGTCACAAAATCATTGATTTTTACCGACCAAACTTTATGGTTGCAAAATGATCAAAATTTGGTCGCAATTGGTCAATGTATTAACGACCAAAATAAATTATGGTCGTGAAAGGATCTATCTTTTGCGACCAAATTTTATGGTTGCAAAATGATCAAAGTTTGGTCGCAATTGGTCAAAGTATTAACGACCAAAATAAATTATGGTTGTGAAAGGATTGGTCTTTTGCGACCAAATTTTATGGTTGCAAAATGATCAAAGTTTGGTCGCAATTGGTCAGAGTATTAACGACCAAAATGAATTATGGCTAATCCTTTCGCGACCAAATTTTATGGTGGCAAAATGATCAAAGTTTGGTCGCAATTGGTCAAAGTATTAACGACCAAAATAAATTATGGTCGCGAAAAGATCAGTTTTTTACAACCAAATTTTATGGTTGTAAAACGATCAAATTTTGATCGCAATTAGATAAGGTATTAACGACCAAAATAACTTATGGTCGCAAAAGGACAAATTTTGTTAAGAGTACAAGATGACTTCTAAATTTTTTGTAAAATAATATGTCAACTAATTAATGATTCGACAAAAATGTCATTAATTGCAAGATAGACAAATTAGTGATTTATTGTTTCGAGCTTAATTAATTTGTAAAAATGTCAGTATAAGAAAAATATAAAGAAAAGTATGAATATATAATTACTAAGTGTTTTATTAATTCTTAATCTAAATTGACCTATACTTTAAATATTTTAATAAATAACTATTGTTAGTTAAGAAAAATATAAAAAAAATACCAACAGGCCCTTCAGTAGAGGCAAGTGTGCGTGAGTACCAACTATATATATATATATATATATATATATATATATATATATATATATATATATATATTATGGGGTATATTTTTAAGAGAATTCATTAAGGTTTAAATATTGAAAATTTTAAGAGCATCGCAAACACTATTATTTTATTTTCTTTAAATATATTATTGTATAATTAGATTTTATTATATTAAAAAAGTCATTTAGATATTGTGATAGAGTTTTATAGAAAATAAAATAGTTAATTTTTGGTAAATTTTATAAAAATTATTTTATTTTTATATCAATTAAAAAATATTTATTATATTAATAATTCTTGTCTAGTTAGATTTTCTTTTATTAAAAACTCATAATAAATAGATAAATAGGTAATTTGTGTTAGAGTTTTATAGAAATTCTTTTAAAAACTCTTTTTATATCAATTAATAATTATTTAAATCATTCTTGTCTAATTAGATTTCCTTTTATTAAAAAACTCATAATAAATAGATAAATAAGTAATTTATATTAATTAATAAATATTTTATATTAATAAATAAATACTAAAACACTGAAACTCTTTATAGTTTTAATAATTTTTATATTTTATTTATATGTATTAGTATATATATTATATATATTTTTTAAATATATCTTTCTCTAATGTAATAGAGTTTTATAGAAAATAAAATAGGTAATTTGTGGTAGAATTTTATAGAAATTATTTTATTTTATTTAAATATATCCTTGTTTAATTGGATTTCCTTTTATTAAATAACTCATAATAAATAAATAAATACAGGATATATGTGATAGAGTTTTATAGAAAATAAAATAAGTAATTTGTGGTAGAGTTTTATAGAAATTATTATTATTTTTTAAAATATAATCATAATAAATAGATAAATACAGGTAATATGTGATTGAGTTTTAGGGAAATAAAATAGTTGATTTGTGGAAGAATTTTATAGGAATTATTTTATTTTCTTTAAATATATTACTGTCTAACTATATTTTACTTTATTAAAAAAGTCATAATAAATAGATATTGTGATAGAGTTTTATAGAAAATAAAGTAATTAATTTGTGGTAAATTTTATAAAAATTATTTTATTATATTATTAAAGTATAAAGAGTTTCAATGTTTCAGTATTTTATTATTTGTTATATTATTAAAGTATAAAGAGTTTCAGTAATCTTGTCTAATTAGATTTTCGTTTATTAAAAACTAATAATAAATAGATAAATTAGTAATTTATATTAATTAATAAATATTTTTTATATTAATAAATAAATACTGAAAGACTGATACTGAAATACTGAAACTCTTTACACTTTTAATAATAGTATAAATATAGATTCTTGTTTAATTTTTTTTTAAAGTACAAAAATTCTACGTACATTTAATAATAGTGTATATATAGAGAGAGAGATATATATAAAAATATTTAAGAGAATTGGTAAGAAAAAAATTTATCCTTTTATATAAATTTTTGTAAAAAAATATAGAATTTTTTTTACAGAGAGGAGTTAATGTTTAACACAACCCGTGAGCGTAATGGTTACATGCTCAAGTCTATCAAAACCATATATATATATATATATATATATATATATCTTTGAAGAATATTTGTCCTTTTATATAAATTTTTGTAAAGAAATATAGAAAATTTTTTTGCACAGAGGAGCCTAATGGTACATGCTCAAGTCTATCAAAACCATATCTATATATATAGAGAGAGAGAGAGAGAGCAGTAATCCCTTACTCATTATAGAGCAAGAAATTTTTTTCGCAATTTTTATAGTGACCATTAGATTAAATCCAATGGTCATGTTCTAAACCCACATATATGCTTTCCTTTTAATACAAAACTACTATCACTATTTCTATTTTTCATATTTAATATTTACCAATATAATTAACAATAAAATCTATTTTTTTATCCACTTGATCAACTTAAGGTAACATGTGATTTGCACAACACTTCACCCATAAAATGTTTAATAGATTACAATTTAAATTATTGTATACCTCCCTAAATGCTCTCTGACCCGTTATCACAAATTGTCTTATCTTTCTTATTAGTTTTGTTTTATTTTATTTCAAATTCTAACTAGTTGTAAACACATTCCAATTACTAATAATGAGGAAAAAATTGAGATGATTTTTTTCGTTTTCACTCTCAATCATTTTTTGCTATCATTATTTTCGTTTTCACTATCATAAAAAAAAAGGTATAAAAAGCAGCTAATATGTAAAGTTAGAACAAAGACATCAAAGAAAATAAAAATTCCAATTAGTGATGGTGAGAAGTTCTAGAGGTGAAGCCATTTATATATTTATTTGTTTGGTACTTACCTTTATTGTTGTAATTAGTGGTATTCGTAAATATTAAATTTAGAAATTAAAAATAGTAATAGTAGTTTTGTATTGAAATGAAAGTATATAGGTGTGTTTGGAATGTGACCATTAGATTTAATTCGATGATGGTTATTATAGAAAGTGCGGAAGAATTTTCTTGCTCCTTGAAGAGCAAGAGATCACTACTCTCTATATATATATCTATCTTTTTAGACTAAATAAAATAATATTTTTAATACCCCCTTATTAAGTTAAATATATAAATAAATACAATAGAATATCTACACTAACAAGACCCCCTCTACATGAAAATGTCTTTAAAAAAAAGAAAGAAAGAAAAAAAAAAAGCAATGCTAGAGTTCACGAAAAAAAATAAAAAATTTCAAAATTGTTTCACAAATGATAAATACGATGTGGTATTTCAGCACCAAAATCACCATTTCCTTTTTTTACATATCTTTCTCTCCATTGTTAATTATATATAGCATCAATATATAAATATATATATATATACATACACATTGTGTTCAAGTAAAAATCTAGAATTAAGTTGTGTGGTTATCGTCGGCAACTTCCAAAAGGAAATCTAAGAATAATTCAAGAAAAAAGAAATTATCTCTCAAAAGAAAATATGAGTGAGGGTTCCTTTCTTTGGCCCTGAAAATAAAAATTAATTTTGCTACATCTCATTACTCATTAGTGATAAAATCATGAAAATCACTATGATTTTTTTTTAAAAAAAAGAATATAATAGGACCTTTTTTTACCAATTCATGCACTAAAATAATGGTAACCGAGATATTTTACTAATTATAGAATATTTACTTTATACTATATTTGATTAGGAAATTAATTACAGTATAAATTTTTACTCCTTATCTATTTTTAGTAACTCTTGCCTTAGGATTTTCTGAATTTCGCCTCACTTTACTATTTGTAGTTTAACCTTAAAAAGCGCGGGTGCGAAATTTTCTGAAATTATTTTATGCGCGGGCGCTCTAATATTATTTCATCACTTTACTATTTGCTTAATTTACCATTTGTCCCATTCGACATTACAAACCCTAGGTTTCTCTCTTCAGCCTCCCCAATCGCCTCCATCTCTATTCTCGTTCTCATCTCTGAAGTTTCCCTCTCTCTTTCTCTGTAACTGCAACTACAAAATCTACTTTCCTTGGCCCCCAGATAACTAAAACCAAACACATCACAATGCCCATCTTTACCACTTTTGCCTCCTCCTCCTCGCCTCTGCTCCTCATCGTCGCCTCTCGCTCATCCCTTTCTCTCTCTAAACCCTCATTCTCTCTCTCTAGATTTCTCATCAAACCCACATCTTTCCCCCATACCTCCAGACCTTTCTCTCTCTACTTGCACCCAAAAATGAACTGGTTGGGAAAGCTAGGGTTCAGTACTCGAAATCCCGGTGTGACCACCGTGGACCAGTCATCATCTTCCTCGATTGCGTAGGGTTCGGACGACGACGTCACGGCACCGGGTCAAGAGTTCACCCAGAGAGTGCCCGAAGTGTCCAAGACGTAGGTTGGGTACAGTCAGGGCTATATTCACAATCCAAGCTACAACGACGTGTGTTCAGGGACGATGAACCACTCCAAAGTCGTCCGGGTTCAGTACGATCCCAAGGAGTGCGGTTACGAGTCTTTGCTCGACGCGTTTTGGGCCAGCCATGACCCTACTACGCCTAATCGTCAGGTGAGTCTATGGAATTATTGGGCTTTTCATGGTTGAGTTTATGGGTAGTCATTTTATGTGCATTTTTTTGCTGAATTTTGACGGGTTTTGGTGTCAATTATTTGACGAATGTGTCTTTCTCTGGGTTATGGGTTCCTAACTTTTATATTTATCCATTGCACTTTTAACTAGATGATTGAAATTTAATTGTATTTTATTGATAATTATTGGGTTTATTAGGGTTTGGGACTTTGAGTTGTCATTTTGGGCTTTTGTTACTGAATTTTGATGGAATTTTGTTGGATTTGTCTAAGGATGAATCAGTTTTTGCCTATGCTTCTTTATTCTCCTAAAGGTAGGAAGCTTATACATATGTGGGTGATAGGGGTTACTTAATTATTTTGTTGATCTATTGATTTTTTAGCTAGACGATTGAAATTCGGTTGCATCTTTTTTATTATTATTGGTTTGAAAAAAATTATATTTTAATGTATTTTGGTTAATTTTTATCTTTGAAATGAAGCAATTTTGTAGTTAACTTATATACACGGATTTCTCTATACTTTCAAACCTCCCATTTGGTTCTTAAATTTGGACTTTTAAGGTCTGTTAATTGGATATAGGTATGATGCTTTGTAACATTCATCAATTTTTTTTTATTCTTTCATTTTGTGGCTTCTTATGTTGGCATACCAATCGTGCAATTCTGTTTCTTTGAGGACTGGGTTTTCTGATGTTGGCCGGTGGGGTTGATTGTGGGATTTATTTTCCTTTTCTAATGTAAACCAATCTTTGATTATGCTTTTCACTTATTTATCATTTGCCCTTGCAAATCTTGCCAATTGTTACCTCCTAGTGAATTATGTTAAGTTCAACCTTTTGGGATCTTGGATTATTCTGTATAAGAGGAACTTGTACGGATCAGGTAGTAGGAGTAGTTGTTCCCTTCTAGGACCTACGAAATGTTGTGATTCTATATATATATATATATGTACACACTCATAAAACTTTATGGATTCAACTGCTCAATTAATTTAAAATAGTAGTTTTTTTCTGTTTTTGTGTGGCATGGAATATTTCAATCATGATGGGAACTTTTAATCGTGAGCAACTTCTTGGCTAAAAAAGAAGTGTCATACAGGCATGCTTTTGAGGAAATGTTACTCTCTTATAATGGTTAGTTCCTTAATCCTTTATGATGTTCCTCATGTTATAGAGATCTATTTATGATGTAGTATACTTTGATAGCCTATTAATGCCTTTTCCTTGATTTTATATTTGAATAAGTTAAATCTTATTGCATATCATGATGCAGTATGCTTTGATAGCTCATTAAGAAACCAAAAATGTTCCAAGCTTGTAATTTACCAGCCTCAAATATGCTATGTGTAACTAAGAAATTGAGTTAGAAGTTGTTCTTGTCAAGTTGTCATTAATCACATAAATTTCATTCCTAGATTCTCTTCACCAACCTTCGTGTTTCTGTTTCCATGGTGAATAACTTTTTGCAAATCTGTGATGTTGTAAAAAGGGCGTGCATGTCATGGAGGTGATGGAGTTCTATGATTTATTCGTGTCCAGGAAGGCTAACTGTGTATGCCTTATGGATGTTTGAAGGAGGAATTATGGAGTTGTATTTGTTTCTTGTCAATTAGGGAGTTGTACGTGTTGGTTTTGATCAGGATTAATTTTGATTTACTAAATTACTTGGACTATCTTACTTGGTAATGTGTCTTGTTATGATTTACTTTGAAGTAATATGTAATTATTAGACTGAACAAAAACTGTGAAATAATATAAAGGTGAATAACAAATGTGATTCAATGATTAAGACTTGCACCGAAACTTCAAAGTCTAAAGACTGTCAAACATGCTCTAAAAAGGGAATCTAAACTTTCAAAGGAAAAGAAGTTAAAGAAGATTCTAAAAAGAAAAGAGATGTAATAAGACATAAATTGCTAGGAAATGTGATATAAAATTCTCAAAACATTCATTTTGCCCTTTAGAAATTAATATTTCAACCATAAGAATGTCAAGTACTTGGGTTAATAGATTTTGTTCATTGGTGCACTCTTTCACTCATAATTTTACTGTAAGAACCATAACAGAAATATACGCATTTATCAAACAAAAATCTTGTTTTTTTAAAACTTTTGGGCCAAGCACCATAAAACATTAGTCTTCTGCAAATTACAAAAAGTATATTTAATCAATCAAATATATAAATTTACAAGTCCTTCAGCCACTTGCCTAATTAGATTTCTCATTGAGTATGTAATCATATGGAATAGTTTTTATTGGCGTTTCTTATTTGATATTCCTTGCCAATGAATACCTTCTATATGTCTCTTCACTAATTAACCATGGGTTAACGCTTTAGTTCTGACACTAAATAATCATGCATCATTTTTGGAAGTGATACTAAATAATCGTGAATGCCTTTTGCATGTCTCAAGAGTTGAGAGGAAAAATGTAATTTTTCTCCCTTTACAAATACAATATTTTTTGTCCACCTAAATCTCTCTGGATCTGCAGGACACAACCCCATTGTCTTCATTGACTCATTTTCAGCACATACTTATATTACATTTTAATTAGTAGGTACAGCTTCCAATAGTATCCTACCAACTCACTAGTGAAAAAATTTTCAAAAAAAAAAAAGTTCACTTGTGAAAATGTTGTAATTTATTTATTTTATTCTGAATCTAGTTTTATTCTTTATTTTATAAAAACATATTTACTACACTTACGTGACACATTGGAAAATAGTCTAGTGGAATGGACCAGATCATACTTTCTTGTTATGGGACAATAGTTCTTTTGATTGCGTGTACAACCTTGGATTTATTCTCCAATTGTATTAATGGATTGGAATCAATAAAGCTGTAATTTTTATTCAATGTAGGATGATTAGAGTGCTGTCATCTTTTGATTCTTGATGATAAAATATTTTTCAACTTTCTGACACTTCCTATTTAGTTTTAAGATATTGTATTTTCTAATTAGAACACTTTTGGAAAAAGATGTATTGTCATGCTCATCATATGAACTATGGAAAAAAATTTATTATTATGCTCATTATATGAACTATGGAAAAATATATATTATTATGCTCATTATATGAATTATTACTTATTTTCTTTTCGGTTAGATTAGTGTTTATAACCTATCTTTAAATTTCTTGTTTCTTTGGACAAGCAATCTCCATCATAACCAAGAGAAGTTATATTTTGGAGACAAATTGTTTCTAATAGAAGGGATACTGTGGTGAAAATTATTGTTCAGAGTCTACAGATGCTAAAAGAGACACCGAGAGTCTGCTAAGTTTTGAAAGAGAATATTAAGGCTTTGAAGCAAATGTATAAAACCATACCGGATAATAAGCAACAATGTGTCATCTTTAGTAGTTTATCCATCTTTTGTTTTTTTAAGGACATGTTAGTTTTTTTTTATAGTTTATCTTTATTTTTTTAATGGATATGCCATTGGTATATGTATGTAATGGGTAAGCCATGCATGAATGTATTTAGTATTTTGTTTTTTTTGTTCTGCACAAACTATGTGTATATGTGTAGGACATGTCATGGATGTATCTAATTTGGTAAAATAAATTACCTTTTACAGTTTATTATAAATGATTGGCAGTATTTAATTACTAAGTTTATTTCAAATTAGAAAAGTAGATTGGTATATTAATTATATTACTTATTCTATTTTATTTTTTTATTACAAAAGAATTACCCTATTTGAGACGAAACCTTATGGTCGCCAAAGCATTACCCTATTTGCGACCAAACCCTATGGTCGCCAAAGCATTACTCTATTTGCGACCAAACTTTATGGTCGCAAAAGCAGTACCTTATTTGCGACCAAACCTTATGGTCGCAAAAGCATTACCCTATTTGCGACCAAACCTTATGGTCGCAAAAGCATTAACCTATTTGCGGTCGCCACAGCATTACCCTATTTGCGACCAAACTTTATTGTCGCAAAAGCATTACCCTATTTGTGACCAAACCTTATGGTCGCAAAAGCATTAACCTATTTGCGACCAAACCTTACGGTCGCAAAAGCATTACCCTATTTGCGACCAAAAAAATTGGTCGCAAAAGTGTAGTTTATTTACGACCAAATACTATGGTCGTTGAAAGTGCTCTTAATCGGTAATGTAATTGGTCACAAAAAATGACTCATTAGCGACTAACTCATTTTTTGGTTGCAAAAGACAATTTGCGTCCTAGGTATCGTCGACCACTGGGCGACCAAAGCATTTTGGTCGCTAAATGGCATTTGCGACCAAAATGTGACCTTTTGCGACCAAATATTTGGTCGCAAAAAGGCATATCTGTTGTAGTGTTAGTTGGTTTAGATAGCAACATATTTGATGCCGGTCCACTCAAAAAGGATTCTAGAGTTATTTTGATTTGCATGATCATTTTCTTAATGTGTGGAGGACCATACTTGCTTGCTTGATGTTGAGATTTTGGAAGATTGCTTGGAAAGTATTGAAAAATTGCATACTTCAGGTAATTTTTTCTCAATGGTTGTTTGCAATATTGGTGCCTCTTTTGTGATAATGAGCTTAACGTTTGTGGGTGCCATTTCTGGAAACCTTCACGAGATGTCACTCGTCCACTAGGGGTTTAAAAGGCTTATTGCATATGCTAAATGCAATCGTGTTCCCTAGAAAAGTGGCATTATCCATTTATTGTTTTTTAGTTCATAGTTCTATAGTCGATCATTTCATTCCTTTACTTCATAGTTTATTACTAGGGACTAGCAATATTTAAGTTTGGGGGGTGATGAGCGCTGAAAAGTGCCAATTAAACCCCTTAAGCTTAGGTATTTTAGGATCTTTATCTATCTTATTTTTCCGTTTTAGACTAATTTCATGTTATTGTCCTTTTTAGGTACTTAACCCAAAAATAAGTTAATTCAGCCAAATAAGAGCTTAAAAGAAGCAATCTCAAGCTGAATGGAAGAAAGGAGCAAAGTGGAAACAAAATGAAATAAAGTGTGGAAATCAGCAAGTTTGATCGATCTCAACATTCCTTCGATCGATCAGAGAAACATTGATCTGGGCACTTCAAGATGGATCCAAGCAATTGGCCTTATTCAAAAGATCTCAGCATGTTCAATCGATCTAAACATTCTTCGATCGATCAAAAATATTCGATTTTATCCACACCTTCCACCCTACCTACCACTCTTGTGTCTTTCCTAAAATATTCCAAAATATCTTAGAGATTTGTCTTTATTCAAAAAGGTGCCGCCAAGGATGATCGATCTCTGCAGCATTCGATGGATCTCACCAATGTTCGATCGATCTCAACATAGTTCGATCAATCGAACCTCCTCCAGTTCGAATTAAATCAAATTCCAGCTCATTAAAAGTCGTCTCATGGTGCAATCATTGCAAGGACCATAGTGCACGAGTCCAGACCATTGGGTGTGACACTTGAGCCTCTTATATAAGGATTTTGAACTATTTTTACATAGAGTTTGGAAGATCTTCAATACACATATACTTAAGAGATGTACTTAGAAACATTCTTGGAGAGAAAGAAAGGAGAGGAGGAGAGGCTAGAGACACATTTTTGGGAGTTCTTTCATTCTTCTAGGGTTTCCATCAAGAAAAAGGTCATTCTTACCATGGAGATAGCCCTTGAGGGTTGGATGACTACTTCAATGAGTGGTTAAACATCTTCTTGGGGCTAGAGTTAGCCCTAAGCATGTCTTATAGACTCTAATGCTTTGTATTTTGAGAGGATTTGTGTTGTAATCTTGTTTTGAAACTTATTTTATATATGAATCTTGTTTATTCAATGATTTATGTGGTTTAATACTTCCAAATGATCATTTCATTCTATCCATATGTCTATGTATGCTAGAATAGATGTTCATGTGGCTTATCTCTAGTTTTTGAGTTATTGATGCATGTCTATATGTGTTGATGCTATGGATTTAGAGATTGTCAAGGCATAGTACTTAATAGAATACTATTGTGGTTTATTTGATGGTTCATACTCATGTATTGATGGATTGTGCCTCTCCCTTAGTTTATTTAGCTTAATTTTCATGCCCTTAGCTTAGTTGTAGTGTAGTTGCCTTAGTTGTTAGATGGGAGGACAATCCATGCTTATTGTTTGATGTTCCATGCTTATGAATGTAAGTAGTATTATTCTTTAATCATGTGATGTGTTTGGATTGTGAGCTTAAAGGAAGGATTAATAGCTTAGTTTGATGTATTGTGCTATTAACTAGGTTGCTTAGACAATATATGCTTAATTAGTCATGTATGTTTGTTGAAACAATCAATTACACACTCTCAAATTGCAACACATGTTTTCTCTCATTAATTATACATTAAATGTCTAGAATGATGAGGTTTAGTGGTGACCTCTAGACCCTAAGACCCCACTCTCTTGTTTGCTCTAAATTTCATTTAAATTGCTTATTTTACATTGAACTTCTTTAATTTAGTTTGTAGTCTAATCAACCAAATACACCACCTTTTGATTACTCGACCTATTAACCCTATACATTGTTTCCATTGCAAGTACGCCTATAATCCCTTGGGACGATCCCTACTCACCCTAACTCTATTTTTAGTTAGAGGTAGTAGTGGCTTTTATAAATTTAAAACTTGGCCATATTGCACATTCACACTCTTAGTGCACATTTTTAGACGTTGGTGCGGCGGCAACACCAGTAATCATGATGTAGAGACCTGTCCTTATATAAGAACATGAAAACCTGTTGTCAACTGATGACTTTGGGATGGTTTCCATGATCGGAAACTTTCGTCTTGCCGATCGAGCCAAGTCGCGTCAGGATTATTATTTCGTCAGAGAACTAATCGTTCCCACAGACGGCGCCAGCTATTGATGCGAAAATTCTCACGATTCGGAACGATGGCGTTTACCTGCAAAATAAAGGGACGTCACCTCAAATGGCACCGGTGGGGTGCCAGCCGAGGACCCTCTAACGATCCAGTTAGTACTTATAATCGTATCTTATAATAATTATGTAATTTCTCTTTAGGGGTTTTTTCTCGTACCCTTTTTTAACGGCTTGGTGCCCTATTTATGGCTGTCGATTGGAATCCAATTGGTTTCGCCGATGTCAATGGTTAAGGTCTCCCTTATCATCTGCTTGTGTGAGATCAAAGGAGATCCGTTTGTTGCCATAGTTGTCTGGGATATGATTTACTCCTTTGACTTCCTCAAATTGTGCCAAGGTTATCTTTATCGTATCGAACCACGTCATCTTTCATTATCCTTGATAATGAAATATTATCATTTTTATCCAATGGAAATATCATCGTTCGAAAGTCGAAGAGGTCTGGTGGCAGGTCAACACTTGGTTGCCTCTATCGTTAAGTCAAGGTAGGTTAGGTTTATTTTTCCCTATCACTATCAACTACAAATTATGCAATTTTCATTTGGTTTAGCGTTTGTTGCTCTAGATATCGAGCAATATTTTATTGCTTAAAAATAGTTTTTAAAAAAATATTTGATTTTTTAGAGTTAGGATGAGCCAATTCCTTGATTCGATAGATGAAAAGGAAATTCTTTTGGAGAGGGTGGTCTTGTCTTCTCACGAAGGTGTCTTTGTAGACAAGTTCTCTACTTTTTGGTTAGCTAAAAAAGTTATGTTACCAAATACTAATTCTTAAGTTTTGGAATTTATTTTAGTTTTGGGTCATCTATTTAATTCTCTAGGAATTTTTGCATTACTATTAAGAGATTTGAACAACATTAGTTTCCTCCCGTGTGACATAGTCTAATTCAATCTTGCATGATCGAGTTGTAGTTCTAGTGGTTCACAACACTAACATTTGTCCTGTATAAAATCTCGACCTACTTGTTTCTTGGATTCTTGATTTAGGGAGTCTAGGGCATTAGGAGTTTCGGACATATCAGCGTTGATGTTGGGACAGATTGAAAGGTGTGGCTACCCTATCTGTAGGGATGGCAATGAGGTACTTATGCGTACGGTTTCTCTAAATTAACCGTACCCTGTCTGTCTCATTTAGGAGTAGGTACAGGGTACCAAGAAATACTTTTATTTCAGCATGGCCAAGCAACGCCTTAATTTTTTTTTTTTTTTTTTTTTAACAAATTAAAAGAGGGGGACTCAAACACGGGCACACCCGCTCAGAGAGTTGGGCGCTCTACTAACTATGTTAAGCATTACCTTAATTGAATCTTAGCATCATGTGTATTTTCTCAAGCAACTGGAGTTAAAATCAAGGGATCACTTGTTTTAGAAACAACAAATTGATGATAATTTGACAAAAGGAGGTGCTATCACACTTTCAATTCCAGCTGTAGAGGAAAGAAAAAAAATGGAATTTACTTCATAATTCTACATGTAATACCGTTAATATATATATATATATATATATATATATATATATATATATAAATTTTAAATTAAAATTTATAATTATTTTGTGATTTTGAATCAACTTGTTTAGGTTTGAGTTAACTTGTACAAGAATTATTCTAACTCGGGTAATAAAAATGTTAATATAAATTTTCTAGCCATTAAGAATTGTACTCTAGTTGTACTTTTTTTGGCCATACATATCATTAAATTAATCTTTATAAAAGTTAACCTAAGCAAAAATTTAAATACGTTTCAGAGTATGATGTGTTAAAGTTGCAATAGCAGGTGATCATTTTTTTTCCCTAGATAATGCAATTCACACTTTAAAGGCGATCAAATAAGATAATTGATCTCATTTCAATAAAAAATGCAATTTGAATTGGACTAAGAACCGTAGAAAACTAAAAACATTTGTCATTTTTTTTGTCCAAAATTGACCATCAATTCAACATTCTCTAAATCTGTAGCTACCAAAAATAATAATAATAATAATTAATAATAATAAATTGTTCACTTAAATGTTTTAATTCGTTTATATAAAAATTGATCAACATAATGTATATAATTAGGCACTTCTCTAAATATTAGGTTGAACAAATTTTGGGGAAAAATAGAGAGGTTAAACGAAGCATGAAAAATATAAATACTTTTCGCTCCATCTAAGCGGTGGCACAAAGTTTTGTCTGTTATGGGAAGAAAATGACAGATTTAAAGGATCGAAAGGAGGGGACGGGGATGCAATCCGCATTACCTGCTTAAAGTTTACGGTGTATAAGAGGCCTTCGGGTGGAGAAGGAGAGTTTAATTTAGTTGCCACTCACCAGTCTATGTCAAGTTACTACGTCAATGCCCATTGCTTAATCCAGTTTGATTTAAATGTTAATGCAAGTGTTATTTTTGGATTCAATTTCTTTATTCCAGTTTTTTATTGTTCAGTTTAGTTTTGTTAATTTTTTTCTTCTTCTCTTGTGACGTTTTACCCGAATACCAATTGCATGAATAAATTAATTTCCTATTTTACATGATTGCGCAAAATTATAGCCAGCTTCACTATTTATCATTACATTGAAAAAGCTTTATATTCAATTTATATTCATTCTATTCTAAATTTTAAATTGGTCTAACCAAACTATATTTTCATTTCATTCCTACACATTTTATATTTGCAACTAAACAATAGAACGAGAATGTCCATTTCATGCAATTTTCATTCTTATTACATTCCCACTTGTATTCCATTCCATTCTTGCACACAAAACGCAACATTAGCTCATTGAATAAGCTTATCAGTGGGGATCGAGTTTTTGACGTTTGGGTTTTTTAGATTTTTATTTTTTAAATTCATAGTTGATAATATAAGTCTGTGAAGGGGCTGTTGATGTTTGTGGATAGCCTGAGGATATGGTGGTTCTTTTTACCGTGTAAGCACGATCCCTACGCCCAATGACACACTCTTTCTTCTTTTTTTATCTCCTCATTTTATCTCCTCCCTTGAGTTGCATCTGACCCTTCTTCGTCAATCTATGCTCTTTCGCATCATCTCTCCAAAGTTTTGAAAACGTATATGGGAGGAATTCATAAATTGACAAGCGCGGAAGGTATGAGTTCTCCCCAATTAAGATATTGCGCACTAAGGTGGTCTTCCCAACGGGTTAATACCAAGAATAACCGTTTTGATCTTGGTTTAACCCGAGATGTGATGTCCAAGTCTTCCACTAATTGATTTCGCATTCAATTCTAAGTTGACAACCAATGCTTAATTGTAACTTGTAATTTTTGCTATTGGCGAATTGATGTTGTTAAGTACATTGATATTGATATGTGTTGTTAAAGAATCATTTAAGTTAGCTTAAGATGATCCCCTAGAACACCTTGAATATAGACGTTAAGTGGAATGATCCCTTATATTTGTCTATATTGATCTTGCAACGATATTGAAACTTTAGGATATACGCATATGCTTCTTCCTATGAGTAACTTGATTACACACTTTACTGGTTTAGGTTATTTTATAGGTAAAGAGACTATGTTCTTAGATGCTCATCATCTTTAGGAGCTTATGAGCAATTTGAAACATTTTTGTATATTGACATGTAAGTGTTTAGCATGCTTTACTTTTGAAGTCATATTTTGTATACCATAGGTGTATGATATTTTAGAAGCTAATGTAGCTTCCTTGATGTTTAATGACATTAAATACTTACTTTTGACACCATAAGCATATATGAAATGAGGCCAATGGCCAAGCATATTCACTTTAGTACTTGTATTCATTTGGTACCAAATTTTGCTTAAAAAATGTATTTTAACCAACTTTGGAGGTTTATCATATGAAATTCTTATAATTGACATGTATGAGGCCATGAACCATTGTTTTACATTCAACTATTCACATTAAGGTTGTTGACTTGTCCACATATTCATATTTCCTT